GTGGTGTAATCATGAATATTTCAACTTTCCTTTTAATTTTTCTCTGTGTTTTGTTCTTCTGCAGTAGCAACTGTGTATTAGCAGCTCTCTTTAATTGGCAATTAGGAGATTATTACCGACCTCAGTGAGTGGCAGGGAGCAGAGCCAAGCTGTCATGGCTGATGAACGGCAGGGGAGGGTGTGGGGGGCAGGGGATGGGCACCTGGGTGGCTCAACTGGTTAAGCGGACTTGGGCTCAGGTCATGATCTTGAGGTTCTTGGGTCCGAGCCCTGCATTGGGCTCCGTGCTGACAGCTTGGAGCCTGGAACCTGCTTCGGATTCTGTGTCTCCCTCTCTCTCTGCCCCTCCCCCACTTGCATGTGTGCGCGCGCGCGCGCGCTCTCTCTCTCTCTCTCTCTCTCAAAAATAAATAAACATTTTAAAAATGTTTTAAAAAATTTTTTAAGGCTGGGAAATGAGGTGGGAGCTATATAGGTGTGGGGACCGTGGACGGTGCTGTTTGAAGAGTAACCTGAGTGTGCTCACTGGCTGAGGGAAAGAGGCCAATGCTGGCAGTGGAGACACAAAGACAGTGGAGAGGGGGATAATTGAAGGAGTTGCGTCCCAGAGGAGGTCTGAGGGGATTGGACCTGGACCCAGGTGGAGGAATTCATTTTGAACAGAAGGCACACTTCACCCTCAGGCGAGGGGGAAGGAAGTGAGGACGAATAAAGTTATAAATGCATTGACTTCATCCATTTGTTTATTTTACACTCTGCCTCATTTCACAGAGGACTTGAGGTATTTCTATAGCTGAGTTGACAGGCTGAAGGAGACTGGAAGTTGAGAAGTCCCCAGAGAGGGGCTCTATTTTCTTCTTGGAGTGGAAGGCAAGGTCCCCCACAGAGAAGGGAGCAGGGGCGAATCTGCAGGGCTTGAGGAGACAGGCAAGGGTTTGGAATGGGGAGGGGCTCCACTGGATGGAGCTGAGGGCCCAGATCTGGCCCAGTTCCAGGCTGCACACCATGAAATCTTCTCCAGCGGCTCTGGGTGGAGAAGCCTGTGCCTCCTACTTGGCCTGGCTCTGGGCAAGTAACTCACCCCTCTGAGCCACAGTGTCCTTATCTGCAAAGGGGGAGAAAAACAGCCAGTCTGGATGGCAGTGGTGAGGATTAAATGAAACCACGCCATGAAACACCAGGCACAGCGCCTGGCACACAGGAGAGGCTCAGTTAATGCTCATTATCTTGCCCCTCCTGCTCTGAGTAAACCTGAACCGGAGGTAGGTGTCTGCATGGAAAGGGACATGGCTGTTGGTCCTTATCCTGGTGGATGCCGTTAAACACAACAATTAAAAAAATGTTTTTTAATGTTTATTTATTTTTGAGAGAGATGGAGTACAAGCGGAGGAGGGGCAGAGAGAGAGAGAGGGAGACATCGAATCTGAAGCAGGCTCCAGGCTCTGAGCTGTCAGCACAGAGCCCGACGCAGGGCTCGAACTAACGAACCGGAAGATCATGACCTGAGCGGAAGTCAGACGCTTAACCGACTGAGCCACCCAGGCGCCCCTAAACACAACAATTTTAAATACAGTCCACTCGTTATTCATGGTGGCTGGGTTCTCTAAAGTTGCCATAAAGATTGAAATAGGGAATACTGACTGAATCATTGCCCCTTGAGGAAATACAGTGTTAGGTTCCTGCGAGCCTCCGGCCACATTTTCATCAGCCAATCAATGCATAACCTTGTTTTATGTATGTTTCTGTTTAAAGACACCATATCTAATATGCACTGTTGATTCATTAATACTGAACTCGTGGCCAACAGCACTGTAACTGAGGCCGGAAGGAAGCTCATCTACCACATGCGCGTGTTTTCTCCCTAAGGCTCAACACGGCTCTCCTGGGTTTAGGAACCGGCCAGCATTTCAGTGCGACCCTCAGGGGTCAGTTTAAACAGCAACATCACCAACAAAGCGCACAAAAATGATGAAAACATGGCACTGAATACACCATGACAAAGACACTTGTTTACGGTAGGAGGGCTGAAACAAGAAGGCAGAATATCCCCTGGTCACCTTGTTGGACCTCAGCTGAGAACACGAGTGTCAGACAAGCCGAAAGGGTCAGTACTCTGCGCGTGCGTAGATCCTTAAATGACTGCAGAAGTTCCTCAAGTATTGATTTGGGGTTACAGATCAATTTACAAGCAGGTACATTTGCAAATAAGGAAATCATGAAGAATGACATTGACATCTGACTGTGTACTTATTTTTTCTGATCACAAAATTAAATAGTAAATAGAGCTACGCATACTATGTAAAAGTTCAAGTCCCCTCCATTATCCTGGCCCATAGATAAACACCGCTGGAACTCCTGCAGAGTTTTACAGATTTCTCCTAGGCAGATAATGCCTGTGTGCATGCGTGTGACTGTGTGTCTGTGTCTGAGTGTGTGTGTGTGTGTGTGTGTGTGTGTGTGTGTGTGTGTGTTTTCCACTCAACAAGATCTCTTGGATAGTTTTCAAAACAACTTTTTTTCCTGCAATTATTTCCAGAGAAGACCATATTCCCCACACTTGGGAAGGGGTTGCAGCTACAGAGCAAGAGGAACTTAGCTACTTGAAAAGATTCAGGCAGTAGCTAACATAGTATCAGAGCTTCTGAAAACAGCTACGGGATAGCATGTAACTATAACTGCTTGGACTAGGCCAAGCTGCTGCAAGAAATAGACCCGAAATACAACGGCTTATCCAAAGTGGACGTTTATTTGTCTTTCTCTAGTCCATGTTGGTGAGTGGTTCCACTCCGTGTCGTCATTCAGAACCCAGCCTCCTTCCTTATTTTTGCTTTGTCAACCCCTTTGAAGCATTATGGAAGCTGGGTCCCTGGCACATCTGTGTTCCACCTCGAGGGAAGAGGAAATGGAGCATGGCAGAGCAAAAGCCCCAGTGCCTTAAGCACTGTTTCTATTTATGTTCTATTGGAAAGGACTTAGTCACAAAGCCACGCTCGGCAGCGATAGCAACTAGGAAGTGCGGTCTCCAGCAGACCAGCTATGTGGCCAGCTACTATATTGCTATAGAAGAGGGGGATAGATTACATGTGGAATAACTGAAGCCCATCCACCTGTCATCAAGGCTTTTTTTCATTTCGCTTCAAATGCTTCAATAATCTATACCCCACCCTCCTTGCAAAAAAATATTGGGGGTGCATATCAGTATATTATTTGGGATTCTTTTGTTTGCCAAGTGACAGCACACAATTATTAAACTTGCTTAAGCAATAAGGTGGGCCACCTCATATATCCAAAGGTCTAGGCTCTACTTCAGAGCACCAGCCCTTCTTCCCTTGGACTCCCCCCACCTCAGTCATGCGTTGGCTGCATCCTCAGAGTGGGAGCAAGTAAACTGTGGCAACTCCGAGCATCACCACCAAACACATCCACAATCAGCAAAGGGGGCAGAGTGCTTTTGAAAGGGAAGAGACCCTCAGCAGAAGTCACTTCCCCACCATAGGCTTGCCCTCTGGTTTTTCAGGCCAGATCTACATGTTCCAGCCCAAAGTATCACTGGCAAGAGGAATACAACACCACAATGGAGTTGGACCAAAAGGGACTTAACTGCCAGACTGGGCTGGGGTCATCCTTCCCTTGGTCACTTGGGGAAGAGACCCACATGAGCAAAATCAGACTCCGACTGCAAGAAAAAGTCTTCGCATTAAGGTAACAACTTGTTTCTGGCAATGATGGAGACACCGGACCGGGTAGGTGGTCGTGTGAGGGAGGGAACGTAATGTAAACAGCAGAGAAGTAAATTCAAACTGTTTCTTAAATTGTACCTCAACGAAGTTTAACTCCAGTGAAGCCTTTTCTGGAGAAGGCAGAAAGTGGGGAGCCATGCTCCATTACTAAATTCCATAGTGTCTATACTCTCAATACCCTATAGTCTTCTCTCCTTCCCCAATGTCATGGCCCCAGTTCAGGTCTCCTGCAGGCACTATGACAACAGTGACCTAACTGGGGCCAGTCTCTCTTCCTGCAGTCGACAATCTTACTGCTGTCATTCAGCTACACACCTTTACCGTGTACCAAGCACTGCGCATGTGCAGACAGATCCGAAAGTGTCCCAGCCTTCTTCACCTTGCTGCGGGCATCTCCTTGACTCCTTGACACCTACATCAGACCAAGTCATGCCCCTACTTGAAAGTTCAATGCCTTCAGGAAGCCCTTTACCATGACCCTCAACACCCTCCACTCGTTGCCTTCCCCTCCCCAACCGCCACACTGCAGAACTACATGCACTTGCCTCAAAGTGCCTCTCTTTTCACGCCTCTGTGCTTTTGCATAGCCTGTCTCCTCTATCTAGAAATCCCTTATCCCCTCTCCATCTGGCATACAAGATAAGGTCTCCTGTTACTCTCTCCTTCTCTCCAGCTCCACCCTCTCCCCCACCCGCGGCGCGCGCGCGCGCGCGCACACACACACACACACACACACACACAAATATAGCACTCCGGAAATGTTTGCTGAATGGAGGCAACTCATTGGGTCAGACAGTAGCCAGCTCCTCCAAGCACTCCTTAAGAAAGTGAAGAGGAAATGTTGAACTTGCTCTAAGCAAGCAGGGCATTTCTCTCGAGTGTATCTTTACGTTTTATGCAAAAGTTGTGTTCTATAGAGATTACATGATAAACATATCCTTGTTTGTTTTAATAAAACATGTTATTTTTCCCAAATCTTCAAGTCGATGATCCAGAAAGATGCTCCTTGTTTACTCGTTATCCTCTTAAATTAGCTGTCCTCACCCGCCGCAGGGACCCTAAGCGAGACGTGCCTCTTGTTCCGTGAGCGGATCCTGAAGGAACAGCTGGGTTTCGGTCCCCGGGGGAGTAGGGGAACAGTGGGGGCGGGGAGGGGGTCCGCAGGCTGGAGGCCTGGCCCCGCCTCTCCTCTCCCCCGCCCGCCGCAGGGGCGGAGTCGCCCGGGCCCGGCCCGCGGGGGCGGGGAGGGAGTCACTGCCGCCGGCAGCTCGCGCACGGCTGGTTCCGGGTTGAGAGGCTGCGCTCGGACCGGAGCAGTGGCCGCTGAGCCGGCAGGGTAAGGGGCAACGCCGGGCAGGGTCTTGGGGCCGGGATCGGGCAGCTGAGCGTGCTCGCACCCCTCTTCTCCTCTGCCACGCACAACCGCGGCGCAGCTGGCTTCCCCCTTCCCCAGAATTCCCCATCCCAGCTTCTCCCCCTCCCCCCACTGCACCCATCCCGGGATTTCAGCCCCCCTAAGGCCTCCGCCCCCTCCTGGATCCTCTTCTCCCAGCGCCCACCCTTTCAGACTGTCCTTTCCTCTAGAACCTCCTTGCCAGAGCCCCTTCCCTCATACACCTACGACCCCCACCCTCCAGCACCCATCGCTCCGAGTCACCCACTACCTCGAGACCACCTTTCTGGACTCGCACGCCGGCTAGTGTCTACCCTGCACCTCTTCTTCGCGTGCCCCCCTCCCTCCCGGACAGGCCCCCTTCCTTCTCTTGTGGCTGTTACTCCTGCCTCTCGCCACCTGCTCCCCCCACCCATCTCTCGGTGCTGCCCCTGACAGCGCCGCGCTCTCTCAGCAGCCCCCCTGCATCTCAGGGCCCCTCTCCGCCGCCCCCAGCGCCATGGCGTGCAGCCTCAAGGACGAGCTGCTCTGCTCCATCTGTCTGAGCATCTACCAGGACCCGGTGAGCCTGGGCTGCGAGCACTACTTCTGCCGCCGCTGCATCACCGAGCACTGGGTGAGGCAGGAGGCGCAGGGCGCCCGCGACTGCCCCGAGTGCCGGCGCACGTTCGCCGAGCCCGCGCTCGCGCCCAGCCTCAAGCTGGCCAACATCGTGGAGCGCTACAGCGCCTTCCCGCTGGACGCCATCCTCAACGCGCGCCGCGCCGCGCGACCCTGCCAGGCGCACGACAAGGTCAAGCTCTTCTGCCTCACGGACCGCGCGCTGCTCTGCTTCTTCTGCGACGAGCCCGCGCTGCACGAGCAGCACCAGGTCACCGGCATCGATGATGCCTTCGAGGAGTTGCAGGTGAGCAGCCCGGTCGGCCGGGGGCGGGGGCGGGGGCGGGGGCGGGGACGGGGCCAGGGCCGGGCCGGGGGCGGGGTTAGGGCTGGGCCAAGTCGGAATTGTCACGGGGCGGGGCCGCCGGCAGGGTCAGGGCCCTATCAGAATTAGGACGGGACGGGAACGGGGCGGGGCCGCGGCGAGAGGGCGGACTGTTGGAGGCGGGGCCTAGGGCCCTGTGCACCCGGAGGGATCTGAGACAGACTCTAAGTGGGGGTGGGTCCGTGGTTGGGGAGAGGTCACCCACAGGGTGTTACGGCTGGGACAAATGAGATCAGAGCTGGCCCAGGTACGGGCTCAGGGCAAGGTTGGGGACGGGGAAGGATCAGAGCTGGGCAAGAGCAGGGCCACTGTCAGGGCCCATGCGGCCTGGACCTGGAAGCAGGGACCACAAATGAATGCTTCGGGACAAACAGATGGGAATGGGCTAGACAGGGGGCGGGACTGCCATCCGGGAATGGGTCAGGACTATTTGGAGTAGCTGAGGGACCGACTTGGGGCACAATGGGGCAAGACTCAATCAGGTGTGCACCAAGACCTTAGGGGACAGTACCAGGACTAAATTGTGCTGGGCAAGTCAGAGTTAAATCTGAGAGAGAGCCTAAGTTATGGTCATCCCCAAACTTCTGAGAGGATGAGTTTGGGTACCGAGAGGATGAGTTTGGGTTCCAAGAGGATGAGTTTGGCTAGGCCAAGGTGTCTGAGGGGTTAAAGATGGGATCAAGTCCAGATACTGTAAGAACTATTTTGGGTTTAAACCAGGGGCCAGGTTGACAGTGGGAACAGGACTTAAGACTCAAGATTTGGAAAATAAGACCCTAAGGTGAGGTGATTCAAGAAAAGGGAGGGGGATGGACCTCTAGGAGTCTCCAAGAGCTTTTGATGACCTCCTTGGCCTCATCAAGACCTTTGAAGACTAAATGAAACAGTATATGCAGGGGTAACCTGAGTTCAGTCAGCCTAAGACTATAACTGATCTCTCTCAAACCTTCCCATCGAAACAGACCAACTCCTATTCAACTCTCAAAGCCCTGCTCAAATGTCCTTTCTGTGTAAGCCTTCCCAAGCTCCCCCAGCCAAAAGAGGGAAAAAAAAATTGCATTAGAGCTACATGTCTGTAAATATCTTCTGTTAATAAGTATGATGTTTTAAAAAGTAGTGTTCCAAGATCAGCTATACTGGGAAAATATAGTATGTTATCTCTACCTCCCTTGGAGGATTCTTCATGTACACTTTGCATATTAAAGGTTTTGGAGAAATCTTGTAGCAAACATACCCATTTTACTGTGTTTAATAAAATGGCACCCAAGCTTATTTCAGCCTGGAAGCCTAGAATCTTCTCAACCTAAACTGTTTCAATCCTGCAGTCCCGTTTCTTTGGCCTTGACCAGTCTAGCACACAGTTCCCAAAGAGCAGGGGAAGTCTCTTATTCATCATATCTATGGCCCCAAAGCCTGGCACATCAATACATATCAGTAAAGTTTGAATAATAAATGACTAATTCTGGCCTGAGCTGGCCCAGACTGTGGAGCCTTTAGAAGCAGAAGATTTTTCACTCAAACATTTTTTGAATATGCAGTGGGCTAACTTGGCGGAGACTGAGCTCCCTGACCCTTGAGATGCTTAAGCAGGAATTAAATAACTACTTTCCCCTATGTTGTAGGAAGCCCCCTCCCCCTATGCTTGTACATAAGTCTCTGTAAGTCAACCTGCACTTAGTAGATACCCATGGATGACCCTTGGCCTAGGAGAAATGGTCCCATGTTTACCACCCTCCCCACCCTGTTCCTTTCATCCCCAAACCATTACTGACTCCCTCCCAGTCTGGCTCTGTGAGGATGGAGAGCAAGAGTTGGGGGCTCTGGGAGCTTGCACAGGCTGGCATGGGCCCTCCACCTCCAGAGTCTTTTGTGCCAGGCCCTTGTAGCCCCACCTCTCCATCTGCGAGGTCCCATAAACGGAGGAGAGAACCTTTGACATAGCTTGGTGCAGGTTGTGGGGTTTGAAGGGAGTCTGTTTGAAACTATCTGTCCAACCTCATCCTTATAATAGATATGGAGACTGAGGTCCGGAGAGGTTAATGTAACTTCCCCAAAGCTACACTACCAGGCAATGAGAGCCAGACTAGAAAGCTCAGCCTGCCCCAGGCCAGATTCCTCCTCCATCACTCAGCCTCTCCTCTCTCTGACTTTCTCACTGGAGAGCCCTCTGCCTTCTGAGCCTGGGTTCCTCTGTTTGCAAACCAAGAAGTCAGAACTATTGTGTTTTGGTTTTTTGCAGTCCATTCCATGTCCTGGGGAATGCAGGAGAAATTAAATATATCTTTTCTGCAAACGTTAGTGAAACACTTTTACTCCTGGGTGAAAAGAACAGGAGGGCCACTCACCTACCTTCTAGTATGTACTGTCCTGCGGTCAGATAGTCTTGGGTTCCAAACCTTCCTTCAGCATTGCCAGTGTGTGACTCGACAAGTCCCTTCATGTAAGCCTTGATGCTCTGGCCGGTACAATGGGGTCACAGTGATTCTTTCCTACCAGGATTTTAGGAGGCTGACCTGAGGTGGGCCTGCTGTTTGCAATGCTTGGCACAGGGCAGGGGCTGGGTCAGCATGCATTCCCATCCCTTCTCCTTCTACCTGAGAGAACTCATGTACCCAGCTGGGCAAATGTCCAGACCTGCCTTCCTTGCGAGAGAAGGAGGCCTTGCTTTGGTGCCTCCTTTGGGCTTGGCAAGAAGGTGGCAGAGAAACATCCCTGCCCACTGGAGAGGTAAGCTCCTGGGGGAGGTTTGAGCCACTCCCCACCCCACCTGCCTCTCTCTCCTTGTGGGGAAGTGGGGCTCATTCGTTATTTGTCTGCTGGGAATGATGAGGTGGTTCTGTCCCACGGTTCCTAGAACCAGGGCTTGGGCCCCTCTCCTGGAAACTAACTGACTCAGAGCTGCCAGGGCCTTGGAGATCTTTTGGTGCAGCCCTCACTTGGCAGATGGAGAAACGGCTGGCCGAGGAGGAGGGAGGGGACTTTGCCCAAGGCCAGAGGCCAGAGGAGGCTGTGCCTGGGCTCAGCTGGACTCTCCTCACATCCCACCTAGCGGTTGGCCTGGAGCTTTTACATTTATTATAAATCCTGGAGGTAGCAGAGCAGAAAGGTTAAGAACTCTGGCTTTGTACTTGGGCAGCTTCAATCCTGGTGCTACCATTTTCTGGCAGTGGAAACTCAGAAAAGTTATTTACCATCCCTCATTGACAGCAGTGGGGATGGATTAAATAAGATGACATTTGCAAGAACTTAGTACTGCATTCAGCACATAGTAAGCACTCAATAAATGACAGCTCTAGCACGTTAGGTCATACTCTGCACTATTGACATTTGGGGCCAGATAAGTCTTTGTGTGCAAGGCAATCTTGTGCACTGCAGGATGTGTAGGAGTATCCCTGGCCTCTAACCACTGGATGCCAGTAGCACTCCCCCCCCCATCCTCTCCCCCCCCTACCATGCTGTGACAACCAAAAATGTCTCCAGACTTTATCAAATGTCCCCTGGGGTCAAAATCATCCCTGGTTGAGAACCCTGACCTAGAGAAGCCCTAATCGGCTTTCGAGGCTCAGCTCAGAGATCACGTCCTCTGTGAAGCTTTCCCTGACCTGCCAAGCAGAATTGCTTTGAACTTGATTCCAATACTGGGGTCAGATCCTGGCATCATCGTTGATGAGCTCTGTGTCCTTGGTCAGGTCACTTCACTTCTCTAAGCCTCTACCTGCTCATCTATAACATGGGGATAATATGGCCTTCCTGGGAAGGGTGTTCTAAGGGTGAGGGATCAAAAGTGCCTGATACTGTGCCTGGCACAGAGTAGTACACAACCATTTTTAGATATCTTTATTGTATCTGATTGTAAAATTAACACAATAAACAGAGTTATATAATGTAAAAGTTAAAGTCCCCCCATAGTCTCACCCTATGGAAAAGCATGATTAGGACTGCTTTGTAATTCTTCAGAATTTTTATTGTGTGAATAGCACGTGAGTGTGTGTATACATGTGTACATGCGTCCCCCCCTTTTTTTCTTTTCACTGCTAAGCACTGGACCGCAGAGCAAAAGGGAGGGAGGGATCCCCATCTCAGAAGGGTCTGGGGCTTCTCAGCCAATACTCATTGGGCCCTAGCCCACTGCCTGGGACTGTACTAAGCACTTTTGTTATATTACCTCATTTAATCTTCAAAACACCCCGTCAAGTGGGTGCTGTAATTTGCTGCTTTTACAGATAAAGAAACAGGTTCAGAGGAATTCAGGGCCTCGTTCAGTCACCCAGCTGGGAAATGGCAGAGGCAGGATTAGAAGCCAGTCTGACTGGGCCACTCATGGCTTCCAAGCTGCCTCTGAGGGCCAGGTAGTTGTCCCCCCCCCCCCCCGCCCCCCCCCCCCGCGGACGCTGGTTGTCTTTGTATTTCAAGTAGTCAACACAGGGTCAGGCTAAGGACACTGTGCCAGCTGATGCACCGAGGGCAGGTGGCTGGATGTCATCTTGGTCAGACGTGCATCTGGCTCTCTGGCCTGAGACCTCGGCTCCCATGCCTCCAGAGAAGGGATCGCATTCAGTCCCAGCCACCCCCTCCAGGCCTCATGTGACCACTGGAGCCTTTCCCAAGGCCTCTGTCATGCCAAAGGAGACGGTGCTGGATCAGCCTTGGATGGGAGCCCTGATAAGCTGGGCGTGGTGACCCAGAGATGCAGCCACAGGGGGACAAAGAGCAGGGTCAGGGGACTGGGTTCGAATCCTGGCTCCAGCTTCTTCCAGCTGAACGGAAGTACTGCCTTCTCTCATCCTTTTCCAATGTGGGAGAGTAAGACCCAGACCGTCCACTTGACGTGCAAAGAGGGAGAGAGTTGCTGTCTACCCAAGCAGGTAACAGATGCGAAGTCACTTTATTTTGTGCCACGGACAGGGTGTTTGTGTCCTGGG